AACCCGGCAAGGATAAAGGACACGAGATTGGCTAACGGAAAAATACATAGAAAAGGCTGGAAAATGGGAACTTGGAACATTAGAGGTTTGAACGGGAAAGAAGAAGAACTTTTGGATGAATTTGAAAAATTGGGTTTGAATATTCTGGCAATAACGGAAACCAAGAAAAAAGGTCGTACAAGTATGGAACAAAGAGATGGGCATCTCCTGATTCTAAGCGGAGTTAAAGTAGAAGAACGGGCACAAGCGGGAGTGGGATGCCTAATAGAAAGAAACATAGTGGAATTTGTAAAAAAATGGGAGTTTTATTCGGAAAGAATTCTTAAGTTGGAGATTGAGACGGATAAGAAGCAAGGGATTAATATAATAATTATTTATGGACCTAACGAAGATGATAGAGCTGCAGTAAAGGATGAATTCTGGGCAGAAGTAACGGAAATAGTAGATAATGCAAAAGACAGAACGATTATACTAGGGGACCTTAATGGTAGAGTAGGACGAAGGCTTAATGATGCGGAAAATGTAATAGGAAAACACGGAGAAAATATAAAAAATAAAAATGGAAGAAGGATAATCGAATTTTGCACCCAAAATAACCTGCTTGTAATGAACACGTTCTTCCAGCATAAGGAAATTCATAAATATACTAGAGTACTTGAAAGTAGAAATGAAAAATCTATCATAGATTATGTTTTAATTAATAGAAACTTTAGACACGTAATACAGGATGTAAGAGTGAAAAGAGGGCCTGAAATTAATAGTGATCACTTTCTAGTCCAAGCGAACACGAGCATTGGTTATACTAAAGACAGAGCTGGAGAAAAACCTAACCCACCAAAGAAAGCACCAAAAGTAAAATTAAGAACATACAAATTGAATAATCCTAAAGTAGCACGAGACTATAGAAATATAATAGAAGAAATGATAGAAGAAACCGATACTGAAAGGTTGAATTGTCAACAAACATGGACAGTATTGAAGGAGGCGATGTGTAAGGGTGTGGTACGATCATGCGGAACAACAAAGGAAAACCCAAAAAGGAAACAAACTCATTGGTGGAACGAAGAAATTAAGAACGAAGTGAAAATCAAGAAGAGGATGTGGAGAGAATACCTGCAATGGAAAACAAATGGAAATTATAATAAATATAAAGAACAAAGGAACAAAGTAAAAGAAGTAATAAAGAAGGCAAAAGAAAAGTCTTGGGTAGACTTTGGAAATAAAATGGAACAGGATTATCATACTAACCAAAAGCTCTTCTACAGAATTCTGAAGAGTTTACGAACAAACAAGAAAGAAGAAACAATTAAACAGATAAGAAACGCAGAGGGTATTTTGCTGAAAAAGGAAGAAGAGATTATGGAAACTTGGAAAAAGTATTTCGAGAAACTACTGAGCAGCGACGAAACTGACAGGTCCGTCGACGTGGTGGGAGACGATAAAGAATGGGGACAAGAAGCAAAAATAGAGATTAATGAGACGGAGATGGCAATAAAAATGTTGAAAAAAGGTAAAGCTGCAGGATATGACCAGATTACGGGAGAAATGCTGAAAAATCTGGGCAGAAATGGGTTGAAATTGCTCACAGATGTATTCAACAAAGCAATGAATGAAAACACAATCCCGAAAGATTGGGAAGTTGGAGTGATAATACCATTCTTCAAGAAAGGAGACAAGACTCAGTGCACAAACTATCGAGGTATTACATTACTCAGCGTGGCGTGTAAATTATATGAGCGAATTTTGGAACAGCGGACAAGAAGGATAATTGAACCACAACTTGATCAATCGCAGAGTGGATTCCGGAAAGGAAGAAGCATCCAGGACCATATCTTTACAATTAAACAACTTACGGAAAGGGCGAAAATAACAAGTAAAAATATATATGCAGCATTTATCGATATAGAAAAGGCTTTTGACAGGGTGCCAAGGTCCGCAATCAACGAAAGTATGGTAAAGAGAAATATAAGTACAAAATTGAGACAAGCAATTATGAGCCTATATAGAACAACTAGAAACTATGTGAGGACCGATAACATGGAATCAAGAGAGTTTGTAGTGAAAGAAGGACTAAGACAAGGAGGGGTTCTAAGCCCCTTGTTATTTAACTTAGTTATGGACGACATCATAAAAGAAACAGGTAATAAGACGAGCAAGCTGTACGTAGGGCATAGATGTTTAAAACCTGTATGGATCAAGCAATGTGCTTTCGCAGATGATCTGGCGATCTTCGCGGAAACGGAACAGGATCTACAGAAGAACGTTGAGATCTGGAACAGAGCATTAATGGACAGAAAATTGAAAATAAATGTAGAAAAGACTAGGGTCATGGTAATGGGAAAAGCTAGTCATGACATTAGCGTACAAATAGATGGAAAAGCTATAAAACAAGAGGAAACCTTTAAGTATTTAGGAGTACTGCTGAGCAGCAATGGCAATCAGGAGGTGGAAATCAAGGCGAGAATCGAAAGTGCAGCAAGATTGTACCACAGTATTAAAAATACATTCATAGGAAAGAGGGAAATATCAAGGAAAGTGAAGATGAGCGTGTACCGAGCTGTTTTTACACCAATACTTATATTTGGAAGTGAAAGTTGGACCGTAACAAAGAAAATAAAAAGCCAAATACAAAGTATGGAAATGAAATTTCTGCGACGAGTAATGGGTATAACAAAAATGGATAGAATCAGAAATGTAGAAGTGAGGAAAGAACTAGATATAGAACCGATCGTGAATAAAATAGAAAGGAACCAACTACGGTGGTATGGACACCTAATCAGAATGGACAGAGAGACTCCAGTAAAAAGTGTATGGGAATCTAGAGTTCAGCACAAAAGACCAAGAGGAAGACCGACCGCAACGTGGAATGAAAATATGGGGAAAATTCTGCAGCAGAAAGGAGTAGGGTGGGCGGAAGCCAGGATGCTCGCAAAAGATAAGAGTAAGTGGAGAAACGTGGTGTACGAAGGACATGTCCATGAATAATATGATGTAATATACCTAACACCTTCGGGTATTGTAGGTTTTTGATTATATATATATATATACTATACGAATCCAAGTTGATATACGTGCCCTTTAAAAATGTGGATGAACAAAATCTTGTAAAGTAAAAATTCATGTCAAGTATACGCGTAAAAAATTTTTATAATTTTTGGAAAATGTTGCATAGCGAGGGAATTTCTGTCGAAATAACTTTCGACCAATTTTTTTATTAGAATGATCAATTTCTTTAAAAAATTATGGATATTCCATTTAAAAATTGAAGTTGAGTAAAGTTACAGAGTTTGTATGGAATAAAATAGACACGTGCACTTAACGATAGGTATATGTAAATATTGTCCGAAATTCGTTGAAAAATTAAGTGTTGCAACAGATTATTTTCAATGATGTGAGCACAAAGTGCTAAAATCAAGCTGTTTTGTTCAATCCTTTACTTTAAAAAATAAACTAGGTAGATTTTGCTTCTTCAATGTAAAGTACGTTATTTTTAACCTCTCGTGTGGTCACTCCTTTTGCTATGCTAAGCTGGATTTTCACTCTCTGTGTGATTTTTATCTTCCTTTCGGGCCCAATATGCTGCCCTGAGGTACGCCGGTGTTAATGGCTTTTTTATCTGATAAATAGGGTCTCTGATTGTAAGTAACTTTTACCACCTGTTGTCGTCCTGTTAAATAATTTTTTGCCCATTGTAAAGCTACACCTCTGATTCCGTATGCTTCCAGTTTATCACGTATGAGGTTATGATTCAAAGTATCAAATGCACGGCTTAGGTCAAAATATATCCCTACTACTTTCTTTTTATCATCTAAAGAATCAAATATCTCCATTAACTTTGACACAATAGCATCTTGTGTTCTTCCTCCTTTTTTAAAACCAAATTGTTTGTCACTTTGAATATTGTGTCTTTCTATGAAGGAATATAATCTACGATAAAAGGCCTTTTCAAAAATTTTTGAAAAAATTGACAACAATGCAACAGGTCTGTAATTATTCATTTTTGATGTATTACCGTTTTTATGTATAGGTACAATTATTGCTGTTTTGAGCTTATCTGGGAAAATTCCCGTACTAAATGAAGTATTTATTAAATTTGTTAACACAGCTATTGTGGTTTCAGGAGCATATTTTAATAAAAAATACGGTATCCCGTCTAGTCCTTTCGATTTTTTATTAGCCACAGATGAAATAATGTAATATACCTCTGGTATTACTACAGGATCTAAAAACATTGAGTATCTATTAAATGGAATACTTTGTAGTCTATTTGTGCTATCATTACGGGTATTTTTTAAAGTTTTTGTTATATTCTGTATTGAATTAATAAAAAAGGAATTGAAACTATTTGCTACATTTAAACAACCTGTTATATTTTCATTTTCAGAGTTTGTAATGTGTCTCGTAAATTATTTATTTTGTTATTAGGACGATGCGAATTTATTATTTTCCAAGCATCCTTACCTATATTCATCGATGTTTTTAGAATGTTGTCATAGTAATCTTTTTTTGTTTTTTTGACTAGAATTTTATGTTGATTTTGAAGGATCTTGTAGTGTTTTAGAACCTCAGGGTAAATTTTTGTGATTTTATGCATATCTTGTAATCTTCGCCTACTGGCAATAATTTCATTATTAAACCAAGGTTTTGGGTGGATGGTTTTTTTATGTTGATTTCTTTTTCTTAGTTTGGGAACGCCAAATCAAAATAGTAGTTAAATAGTTGAAAAAATTTTTGGAATTTCTTTGGTCCCGAATTGTTATAAACGTCACTCCATGATTCCGATTGTAACAGATTCTGAAATTTTTCTATATTTTTTTTTGACAAATTTCTTTTATAAACTATGCATTTTTTATTGTCGTTTAATTTATTAATTAAACCATTGATTTGGAGCAACTGCCCGTAATGATCTGTGATATCGTGATATCGTTTTCGATGATATGAGTACTGGCTTTGTTGAAATTGTTGGATATGAAGATTATTAATGGTTGTTTTTGACTTACCGCAGACTCTGGTCGGTTCAAAGACATATTGTTCTAGACCATATGGTGATAAAGTATCAAGAACCAAATTTTTGTCCTCACTGTTTATCCGGAAATCAGTGTTAAAGTCCCCACACAGGACTGTTTTCGTAGCCGGTTTATGAAGCTTTTTCAACAGGTCCTCAAGTTGCACCATAGAAGCCCTACAATCTCCTCCAGACCTGTAAATACTTATTATAGTAATTGCACATTTGCTTAAATTTAGTTTGATGCAACAAACTTCAAACAATTTCTCACGTGCAAATTTTTTTACGTCAATCTCCTCAAAGAATAAATCCTTACGTACTAAAATAATAACACCTCCCCCCCGTTGTCCAGAACGGCAGAAATGAGCTCCGACCTTATATCCGTCAAATCGAAGTTCGTTTACTTCTTCTGTTGACAGCCATGACTCAGTGAAGCACAACACTTCAGGAAAATCCAACTCGTACACATATATATTTAGTTCGTCAACTTTGTTGCGTAAACTCCTTACATTAAAGTTCAATATTCTCAAGGGCTGGCTCGAGTCGTCATTGTCTTCTCGATGGTTTAGAGTACGATCTTTTATCCTGTCTGGTTTATGATTTTTCTCGGATGAAAAAACCGGGATATCTGAGCTCCTTTTGGCCATACGTCAGGGTTTCTACTTTTGTCAAGATTTGTAAAATCTATTGTCACTTTAAACCGGGCATGAGTAGTTGGAAAGTTGCTCTTTAGTAACTCGCATTTATTTTCCGGAAAATCTTTGCGTAAGAAGTTTTCCAGTCGTTTCACTTGACAATCGACTAACATGCACATACGCATTTCTTGGGACAGTTTTGATGTCGGTTGAGTTAGCATTTCCTACAATGGTTTCCCGTTTCTTCAATTTTTTGTGTTCTACCTTTTTCCAGTTGTTATTGAGGGTGGTGGCGTTCTGGTTGTCCTGTTCGTCTTTGTTTCCATTTTGCGTGGTAGCATTTTTCTTTACCATTGTTTATAGATAGTTGTTAGAAGAACCTAGACCACGATAATGTAACGTGACATCAAAATTAGAAGATTTTTCTGATTTATATGAACACTCTTTTACACTGTTCATATAAAAGCTTATTTTTGTATTAACTAAGTCGCGTGATCGTGTTTTCTCAATCGCATGAAACACATGCGAAAAACAACCAACATTTTTCTACAACGCTTAGTAAAGTGAAAATAATGAATAAAAATACTACAAATTTAAGAATAAGAGAATAAAATAATCGTTAAAAAGGTTTATCCGTTGTTTCGATTTTTCTCTAAGTCCAAACGACTGCAGCAATTTCGAATCTTCTTCTAGAAAGAAATGTATGAGAAGACGTACACATATTTCGAGGAGAAATCTATAAAGATAAAACCATCGACTCTGTGGAGAACGCTTTTATAAAAAGCAACATTAAATGTCAAAGAGAATATTGAAGCCAACAAATTTCCGAAAGTACATCGGCCATTTCTATGGGAGAAGTTCGCATGAGCCAATAAAATCAATTGATTCGTTAATTAATTCAGTAAATACGAAAAATATAAACGCAATGATAATGAATATAATATTTTTGTCATGATTTTTTTGGTAGGGAATAAATTAATACATTTTGATTAACGCTTTACCAAGATTACGATAACTTTACAACGTATTGCAAGGTTTCAAACAATTCGGTTTTGCAGTTCCTGATTTATTCAATAAAATAAATGGACTCATTCATTAATTCTTTTGAATAAGTAAATCTACAAACGAAGGAGACGAGTGTGATTTTCCAAAAGCAACAACTACGAGTTCATTACGTTTGATAGTTTAAAAAATTAAATATATATATATATATATATATATATATATTTAAATCTAAGAGCTGTTTTACACGTCACAATTTTCTCGTGATTAATCGGTTGCAAAAGATCAAGAGGTACTCGAAGCAAGCCCTGACAAACTTTGCATTTTTTTTACATTTTTCGATTGCATTTTACTTTCCGATTTTTTTGATTTTTGAATTCTCGATTTTAATTTTTTAATTCTTCGATTTCCGATTTTTCAATTTTCCGGTTTTTTAATTCTCCTATTCTCGATTTTTCGATTTTCCATTAATCATAAAATTTTTCGATTTTTCGGTTGTTTTATTTTTCGACCTTCGATTTTTCAACTTTCGATTATTCGATTTTCCATTTTCTGATTTGACGATTTTTCGATTTGCGATTTTTCGATTTTCGTTTTTCCGCTTTTGTGGTTTTTCGATTTTTCTGTTTGTTTCAGTTTTTATGGTTCTGCAATTTGCAGCTTTTAGATTTCAATTTTGTTACTTTCCGATTTTCCACTTTTCGATTTTTTGATTTTTCAATTTTTAGGCCTTGCAATTTTTTTACTTTTCGCTTTTTCAGGTATTTGTTTCATCGAATTTTCGATTTTTCGAGTCTTCGTTTTTCCATTTTCCGATTTTCGATTTTTCGATTTTCCATGTTTAGATATTTTTCGATTTTTTTTATTTTTCGATTGTTCTGTTCGTCAGTTTTGAGACTTTGCAATTTTTACTTTTCCACTTTTCTTTTATTTTAGTTTCGGATTATTCGATTTCTGAATTTTCGTTTTTTTTTTCATTTTTCGATTTTCCAATCTTCGATTATTTTTCTTTCCAGTTTTTTGATTTTTGAATTGTCGACTTTTAGAGTTTTCAATATTATGAATTTTCGAATTTTCGGTTTTCCTATTTTTCGATTTTTGTTTTTTCCATTTTTCGGTTTTTGATTTTTCAATTCTCGGTTTTTCAATCTGGCAAATTTTCGATTTTTCAGATTTGTGAATTTCCAGTTTTTCGACCGACCTACGTATTAGATTCATTGAATTTTCGAATTTCGGTTTTTCCATTTTTAGATTTTTGATTTTCCAGTTTTGCATTTTCAGATTTTCTGTTTTTCGCATATCTGATTTTTCAAATTTTTGATTTTTCGGCTTTTCGATTTTTCGATATTTGATTTTCGAATTTTCGATTGTTCAGTTTTCTAGTTTTCAGCTTTTAGACTTCAATTTTTTTACTTTTCGATTTTCCAAATTTTCGAGTTTCAATTTTCAGATTTTTGATTTTTCGATTTTCTTTTTAAATCTTTGAATTTTTCGGTTTTGATTTTTCGAATTTTTGATTTTTAATTTTTCCATTCTTCGGTTTTTAGACTTCAATTTTCTTTCTTTTAAATTTTTCGATATTCTATTTTCCGCTTTTCAGAATTTTCGATTTTCAGTTTTCAGACTTTCGATGATTAAAATTTTGGATTTTTCAGTTTTATGCTTTTTCGATTTTTAGAAAATTTGACTAGTCGAATTTTCGATTTTTCAATTCATCGATTTTTCTATGTTAAATTTTTCAATTTAAATTTTGCGATTTTCAATTTGTCCATTGTCGATTTTTAGAATTTTCGGTTTTTCAATTTTTCCATTCTCAACTGTTAGACTTCAATTTTGCTACTTTCCGATTTTTTGGTTTTCGATTTTCCAATTTTCAGAATTTTCAAGTTTCTTTATTCAGATTTTCCATTTTCCACTTTTTCGAGTTTTTGTTTTTCCAATTTTTTGCTTTTTCGATTTTTCTGTTCGTTTCAGTTTTTAGGCTTTGCAATTTTTTTTTACTTTATATATTTTGATTATTTTAATTTCCGATTTTTTTTATTTTTGTTTTTGATTTTTTTAATTTTCAATATTACAAATGTTCGACTTTTCGATTTTTTGGTTTTTCCGTTTTTCAATTTTCGATTTTTCGATTTCAGAGGTTTGCGAATTTCCACTTTTCGATCGACCTAGGTATTTGAGTCATTGAGTTTTCGATTTTTTGATTAGCCATTTTTAGATTTTCGATTTTTACGATTTGTATTTTTCGATTTTCTGTTTTTTGCATTGGTGAATTTCAGTTTTTCCGATTTTTGATTTTGCGCATATTTGATTAATCAAATTATCGAAAAAGTTACCATGCTTACAAAAACTTCAAAACATCTACAATATTTCAAAGTATTCAGTTTTGCAATTCTTGGTTTCTTCAATAAAATAAATTGACTCAGTCATTAACTTTTTTGAGACACCCTGTATAACCAAATCTAAAAAATATTAATGCAGTGATAAATCACAAGTATAAAACTCATCATATTTTATACATTTAAGATGTGACGTCATAAATTTTTTAGAGGGGATAAGCAAATATATTTTAATTAAAAATGTATCATGTTTATCATGATTTTAAAACATCTGCAAGATTTCAAAGTATTCCATTTTGCAAATTCAAAATTAAATTGCAAAATATTGTTTTACAATTTTGATTTTTTTTCCAAAAATCTGGACGTTTCGGATAAAAACTCAACACGGAGTCATAAACTACATGTGTTACTGGTTACTGTACACAATTTAAAACCCATTTACTATGCATAAATTTGAAGTGACGTCATCACATTATTGGTGGGGATGATTAGACAAATTTAATAATTTTGCGACATTTATGAAAAAAATATCAGTTAACAAAAATGGCACGTTTTTATTATTATGCCAGTTACATGTCACTCAACGACAATATCGTTTTTTTTAAGAGTATTTTATTTGAAAAAGTGATGAAATTTTTTATACGGAACAATTGGTCGAAAGATGTTAGAAAGCAAAATAATTCATGTCCGGACCATCGTTACTCACGAACGAAAGTGACCATTATTTTATGGGAACAACTACCTGCTAAATCTTCTCCGACAAATTCGAGAGAACTGGTGTGAGCCATAAATATTTCTTACCAAATGTATATATAACTACTGTCCGTCCCGTTATTGTCAATAATACAATTTATAGGCTAAAATGTGAATTTCGTTGTAGTTTGAGCCTACCTACAAATTCTGCCCTTGAAAGATTTGGACCGCCTTCTTCGGTGAGGGCAGGCAAGAACGATCCGCCCATAGGCTCAAAACATTGCCTGTGGAGCTAGTACCTGCTAAGATAAGGCTGATTTTGGCAAATGAAATACCCTTTAAGAAAAGAGAGGGTGGGTGGGTGGGGCTAGTACCTCTCAAGATAAAACTGATTTTGGCAAATCACACACTTTCTAAGAAAAGAGAGGGTGTGTGGGCGGGGCTAATACCTGCTAAGATAAGAATGATTTTGGCAAATGAGATATCCTCCAAGAAAAGAGAGGGATCTTATTTTTCCAAAATTGCTCTTATCTTGGCAGGTATTAACCCCGCCCACCCACCCTCTTTTCTTATTGGGTATATCTCATCTGCCAAAATCACTCTTATCTAAGCAGGTACGAGCGGACGGGTGGAGCTAGTACCTGCTAAGATAAGGCTGATTTTGGCAAATGAAATACCCTTTAAGAAAAGAGAGGGTGGGTGGGTGGGGCTAGTTCCTGTCAAGATAAAACTGATTTTGGCAAATCACACACTTTCCAACGTTATCTAAAGTCTTAGAAAAATGTATGTATAATCAAACATAGCACAACGACAGCCCTAGCTTAAACTTTCATCTGATATTAACCTCCAATTGAATACAAATAAATGCAAAGTTTCAAAGTTGCTTGCTCTTTTTGACAATATTAATATTAAATTTGCTAATATAAAACTACCAGTTCTACGTACTGTAAGAAATTTGGGATTGGTGATTGATGACGATATTCGTTTTAAGACCCATATTTCTAACATTTTTAAAAAATCATATGTAGCATTGAAACTTCTTTATTCAAATTACTTTTTACTAAATTTTAAATTAAGGAAGAAATTATGCGTCTTCAAAAAATCCAAAATAATTGCTGTCGTTTCATTTTTGGTTTGAGGAAATTTGATCGTGTGTTTCAGAAAATCTGCGAACTCGGTTGGATGAAAATTGACAAGAAAAAGTATGTTGCCGAAACATTATACATATATCTTTCAGAGATCTATCACGTATAATATTATCAAAAAAATTAAAAGGTACTTGGTTAACATTTTTTTATTATTATTATTATTATTTGTATAAATTTAGTTTCTAATTATGGATTATTTAATTTAGATTTAATTAGTTTAGATTGTTTAATTTGATCAGCGACTAACATAGGATAGGAAGTGATAATTTATGAGTAGTCTGCAAGTTGGATAGTTTCCAAAAAAAATCGATGCAAAGCCAAATCTTATGGAATCTATATACAAGTATTTTTTCGATTTTGAAATCAAAATTTATGGAAACAGTTCACCAGAAATAGAGATCATCATATTTTTTCTTAATCATATCTCACGTATCAGTATTTTCATAATTTTTAAACAATTAATGGTTAAATAAACCAATCAGTTTGATGTGAGCAAGGTATTTCTCGTTGCATCGTTAAAATTGTCATAGAACGGTGAATTATGACCAATATCGAGGTCGCTATGTACAATTGGGAGCCTGTCTAGTGCATTTCGGAACTCGTTTATGAGAAAATGGAACACGAAAACTCACTTCATAAAAATTTAAAATATATCTGTCTGTGACACTTTTTCGAAAGTAATAAAAAAACGAAATTTTATAACTTACTGTCTATTGTCGTCCCACTAGAGGCACTACGATCAGACTACTGTAGCGACACGACAGTTTTAAAATATTGTTAGTAACATTCTACGCCTCCACTACACTACACTGTCTAATACTCTAAAGTCAAACGTTAATTAATTCGTGCAAAAACTGCACACCTGCATCACTGTTGCAAACCTGTTTCAAAATTAAATCTTCAAGGAATTTCATATTTTCACTGCTATTTCAAAAAGGTTTTTTTATAGTATCGTCATCGGTATATTTACATGCACATAAATGTACTAAAGCATAAACATATATAGAGGGTGCGTCACAAAGGGCGGATCGCTTGATGTTTTTTTAATTTAAAAAAAAAAACTGCTTCCTTACTCAAGTTGTACATACATTTATATAAAAACAAATAAATTGTTTGATGCAAATCTTTTATGCACCCTTTTATGCCGAACTTCTCCCATAGCAATGGCCGGTGTACTTTAGGAATTTTTTGGCCCCAAGTCAGTTTTCTCTCTTTCAGAAATTTGTTGACGCCAATATAATCCTTGACATTTTATTATGGCTTTTTTAAAAGCGTTGTCCACAAAGTTGGTGGTTTTGTCTTCATAGACTTGTCCTCTATATATGTGTACGACTTCTCATACATTTCTTTCCAGAAGAAGATTTGCAGCCGTTTGGATTCCGATACTTGGAGAAGAATCCAAACTACGCACAAACCTTTTTAGCAATTATTTTATTCTGTCATTCTTAAACTTGTCTAAAGTGGCTTCGACAAGTTTTTTGTAGAATTTTTATTTATTATTCTGACTTTGTAGAAAAAACTGGTTGTTTTTCGAATATGTTTCAGAACACGATCTCTGTAAAACTGCGTCCAAATAATTGAGAAAATGTTCTAATTTTGATGTTGCACGCAATCTGTTTGCTGCTCCTTAAACATTTATCGGCGTTATCTAATCGGGATCTAGGTTCTTCTAGCAACCGATCAGTTTTTCTGAATCATTTAAAAAAGATAATGAATTATTTATTGCATATTGACGTAAAAGTTTAAAAACTCAATCACATAATTTCTAAGGACAACCACTTCGTTCGTATTTGTATTCTAATAGTATATCATACTTGCAAACCTACCGAAACATTACATACATTTTAGTAAAAATTTTCTTTTTTAGAAACGTAAACGACCACTTTTCGCCTTTAGCATAACCAAATAGTCCCAATGGATGTCCTTCCATGATTTTATTTCGACAGTTCGTACTTTGAAGTTCGTCAAAATCGTCGCAACCATTACTTTTACCAGCATCATTCCAAATTTTAGACCTATAAGACAAAGTTAAAATATACATAATACCGCATCTAGTGTCTTCGTCAGCATATCGCAAAATGAACAATAACAAAAAATACAAAAATAAAATATAATAAACAAACAGAAACAAATTATGTAACAATTTTCTTTCTGCACTTGATGTCAGGATACGTTCGTATGGCGCTGTCATACGTAATTGACTTTGTGATGTCATTCTCAATTGCAAGAATCGACAAAGAACTTAGTCTTTCGTTTTTCATCGTATTATTAATACCGTTTTCTTGTTATTTAGATAAGGGAACAAATAAAATGCACAGTTCTATTTTTAAACGCTCTGTATTTTTGCGCGGTAAAAATGATAAATGCAAAGTTATATAATAAATGCTCAGTTAAAAAATAAATTCTCAGTAAAAATAATATATGCTTGGTGAAATAATAACTGCTTAGTTAAATTAATAACTGTTCGGTGGTTTCAAATTTAAAAATAGTAACAGATTATTTTTGATTAAAAAAAGCAACATTTTTACATGAATACCACCAACACAAAGGAAAAAATTATATGAACCTCTTTTTCTTGATGAAACATGGGTATTTAGTAGGGTAGCATATGCAAAAAGACACCATTTCGTTTAACATACTGACAAAATAATAAATTACGCTTAAGAAAATGAAAAAAAAAATAAATAGAACAGAATGAAATTATTATAAATGTTCATAATTCGGATGCTAGTGAGAGTGGAAGTTAATTAATTAAAATTTAACTTACAAAAGACTAAAAGTACGTATAAATAGATATTGTGTGCGAGTTCTTGGCAACAGGTTTCTATCGATGACGCAGGTACAGAGATGACTGTAAGCAATTTTCCACTTTTTGTCGTCAACCGAACCTTAATTATCAATTTTTGTTTTTTTGTATATATTTTTTAAAATTTTTGGGTTTTTCGATTTTTCGATGTGACGATTTTTGGACTTTTCGATTTCCGGTTTTTTCATTTTTTTTTGATTTTTCAATTTTTCGAACTGTCAGTTTTAGGATTTTCCGATATTTAGATTTTTAAATTTTTCGTCTTTTAATTTTTTCGATTTTTCAGTTTTTCGATATTTCAATTTTTTGAATTTTTAAATTTTAGATTTTTACATTTTTTGACGGATTTTGATTTTTCGGTGTTCCAGTTTTTCGATTTTTCCATTTTTCGATTTTTTATTAATTTCTTAATTTTCCGATATTTCAATTTTTCGATTTTTTAACTTTTCAATTTCTCGATTTTTCAACTTTGAGATTTTTCGATTTTCTCGATTTTTCGTCTTCTCGATTTTTCAATTTTTCGATATTTCAGCTTTGGAATTTTTAAATTTTTCAAATCTTCAAATTTTGATTTGTTTTTTCAATTTTTCGATATTTCTGTATTGGGATTTTTCTATACTTTGCTTAATCAATTACTCAATTTTTCAAATTTTCGATGTCTGGATTTGTTATTTTTCGATTTCTTTAATTTTCGATTTTTGTTTTTAATTTTTATTTTTTTTTTTTAGTTTTTGGGTTTTCCGATTTTTCGACTTGACGAGTTTTGGGTTTTTCGATTCCCCGTTCTTTCAATGTTTTGATTTATCAATTTTTAGATGTTTCAGTTTTGGAATTGTTTAGTTTTTTGGATTTTTCAATTTTTCATCAATTTTTCAGTTTTTCGAAATCTCAGTTTTGGGATTTTTAGATATTTAGATTTTTCCATTTTTCGATTTTTCAGTTCTTCGATAGTTCCACATTTTGAATTTTTAAAGTTTAGATTTTTCCGTTTTTTGACGTTTCGGTTTCTCGATTTTTCGATTTTTGGATTTCTCGGATTTTGATTTTTCAGTGTTTCAGTTTTTAAATTTTTCGATTTCTCCATTTATGGAGATTTCGATGTATTAATTTTTTTATTGTTCAATTTCTCGATTTTTCAATTTTTCGATTTATCGGTTTTTTGTTAATTTCAAAATTTTCAATTTTTAATTTTTCAATTTTGGCCAATTTCGATTTCGTAATTTTTCGACTTCTTCATGTGTTCGTTTTTGAATTTTTCGATGTTTCGATTGTTTGATTTCTCGGTTTTTGGATTTTTCCACTCGACGATTTTTCAACTTTTCCATTTCTAGATTTTGCAATTTTTCGAATTTTCCGTTTTGGGGTTTTTCAATATTTCGATCCTTCAAATTTTCTATTTTCCGATTTTTTAATTTTTCATTTTTTCAAAAGTTCTTAATTATTCGGTTTTCAGTTTCTCTACTTTTTGATCTTCTGATTTTCCCATTTCTTGATTTTTCGAGTTCTCGATTTTTCAATTTTTCGATATTTCAGTTTTGGGATTTTTCAATTTTTCGAGTCTTCAAATTTTGCTTTGAATTTACAATTTTTCGATTTATCGATTTAGCAGTTTTTCTATATTTCTGTTTTGTAATTTTTCTATATTTTACTTCATCAATTTCTCATGTTTTATTTTTTTAATTTTTCCAATTTTTTAAATTTTGGATTATATGATTTTAAAATTTTCGTTTTTTCGAATTTTCGAAAATTGAAAAATGAAATATACTCCTACTTAAAATCGAAAAATCAAAAACTTTAAAAATCGAAAAATCAAAACACCCAAAAATCGAAACATTAAAAAATCAAAAAATTAAAATACCTGAAAATTGAAAATCCAGAAATTGAAAAGTTCTCAATATTCAAATCCTGAAAAATTGAGTACTGAAAACTTGAAAAATTGAGAAATCCAAGCATCGAAAAATGTAAAATCTAAAAAATTCAAAAATTGAGAAATAAAAGAAAAGAAAAATCAAAAATTTAAAAATTCGAAAAATTGAAAAATTAAAATATCGAAAAACTGAAGAATTGGAAAATCGAAACACCAAAAAAAAAATCAAAAAAACAAAAATCTAAAATTCAAAAATCAAAAAATTGAACACTCGAAAAGCCAAAAAGTCGAAAAATGGAAACATCGGAATGTTCAAAAACTGAAACATCGAGAAATCAAAACATCAACAGTAGAGGAGTCAAAAAATCAAAAAATTAAGAGATCAAATTAGACGAAAATTGAAAAATCGAAAAGTTAATAATTGAAAAATTGAAACATTTTAAATGAAAAAAAATCGGTAAACCGAAAAATTGAAAAATCTAAAAATCGAGAAATTGAACAATCTAAGAATTAAACAATTTAAAAATCGAAGAATTGGAAAACCAAAAAATCTAAACCGAGAACTTGAAAAATCGAATAATCGAGAAATCGAAACATGAAGGGAAACAAAAAAATTAACGGAAAGTCTAGAACTTAAACTAGAATTTTAAAATTAAAATACCTTTCGAAAAATTGAAAAACCGAGAAATCGAAACATAAAAAATGGAAAAATTGGAGAACCGAAACATCCCAGAACTGAAATACTGAAAAACTGAAAAATGGAAGGAAAATTGAAAAATCGAAAAAGTGAAAAAATTCTAAATTGAAATCTTGAAAAATTGAAAAATGGAAAGAAAATTGAAGAATCGGAAAAGTGAAAAAATCCAAAACTGAAACATTGAAAAATTCAGAAATCCAAAAATTGAAAAATCAGTTAATCGAAAAATTGAGAAATCGAAAAATTTAGAAACGTCGAAAATTGAAAACTGAAAAATAAAAGAAATTTAAAATCGTAAAACTGAAACATCGGAAAATTGAGAAATCGAAAAATAAAGAAATTCGAGAAACCGAAAATATGAAGAATCGAGAAATCGAAGAATCGATAAATTGAAAAATCCCAACAGTAATATGTCGAAAACTTGAAAAATCGAAATCGAGTTTGATTAATTGAAAAACTAAAAATTAAAAAAAAAAAAAATCGTATCAAAAACTAAAAATTCAAAAAATCTAGAAATTGAACAATTAAAAAATCAAAACATTGAAATCCCAGTAAGTTGATAAATATAGGAAAATTTAAAAAACAAAAATTTTAACAATCCAAGAATTGAACAACAAAAAAAATCTAAGCCTGAAAACTCAGAATATCGAATGATCGAGAACTCAAAATATCAAGGAAAACAAAAAATCTAAAATTTAAAAATTCGACAAATTGAAAAATCATGGAACTGAAAAATGGAAAAGTCGAGATAGTGAGAAATCTAAAAACCTAAAACTTTAAAAACTGAAAAATTAAAATATCGAAAAATTTAAAAACCGAGAAAACACAATATCAAAAATTTGAAAAATTGAAGAAACGAAATATTGCAAAATTCCAAAGCTGAAATATTGAAAAATCTAAAAATGGAAGGAAAATTAAAGAATCGAAACAGTGAAAAAATCCCAAACTGAAATATTGAAAAATTGAGAAATGGAGAAGTGGGAAAAGCAAAAAAATTGGTCTAAAGAGTTTAGACAGTACTTCCCTCGCTATCGGAAACGTGACGACTGCATGCCTATTATGTTTTTTTTTCACATTAGTAATAGTAATAGTAATAGTAATATATATTTGTGTTACCATACAAAATATTTACACACGTCATAAAATATTTAATTAACAAAAGCTTAATACTAAATCATAACTAACAAAGGAAAAGCACATTAGTTTTGCATTGATTTCATAAATTGAAAAAATTCTTCAAACGAGAAAAATGCATTTTGGATCAGTATTTTCTTAATACATACTTTAAATTGATTGAGATTAGCCTTTTTCATTGCAGTAGGTACCGCGTTGTAAAATCCCACACAATAGTGAGCAATGCTATTTTTAGATCTTTTAAGTCTAATGAAATCATTTCGTAACAAATGCCAGGTCAATTTCCTATCAAGATGGAAACCAAGAAATTTTACGTAGTCATTTTTATTAATCACACTTGAAAGTGAAAAAAGTAAATGTTGCGTTTTGTCTTTATTTACTAACAATTTGTTCGCTGAGAACCAATTACTTATTTGTGTTTCGGCTTCACTTGATATTTCATTTATTCTGTTAATATCTTTCCCAGAAATTAAAACTGACGTATCATCTGCAAATAAAACCAATTTACCGTCTAAAGTTAGATTTGATATATCATTAATGTAAACCAAAAATAGAAATGGCCCAAGGACTGACTCCTGCGGCACTCCTGCAACTAATTTTTGCTTAGATGATGCTGAATTATTGAAATATACATATTGTTGTCTATCAGTCAAATAAGATCTGATCAATTTTAAGCTGTTTTCAGAACGAAGATAATATTTTAACTTGTATAATAATATATCATGACAAACAGTGTCAAATGCTTTTTGCAAATCAAATACACTTAATAAAGAATTTTGTTTTTGTTCGAAAGCCCTTAGTATCTCCGAGCATAACGAATTTGTAGCTAGAGTTGTTGATCTCTTATTGCGGAAACCAAATTGTGAATAATTGAAGAGTGATAAACTTTCAAAGAATTCGCTTAACTGATTTTTCAATATCGTTTCAAATATTTTACCAAATATTGGAACCAATGAGATGGGACGGTAATTTTTTGTGGAATTAATATCCCCTTGTTTTTTAAGAATCGGTACAACTTTAGTTACTTTTAGTTGTATTGGAAATGTATGCTCTTGTATGCAATGGTTTATTACCTTTGTCATTGGAATAGCAATTAGATTTAAAATTGTTTTTAACATTAATATGCATAATTATATTATCAGTATTTTTACTTTTAGAATTTTTCATTTTTGAAACTATATCACGGACTTCATTAAAAGTGACATCCTTAAAAGTGAAACTTGCATCGTAATCTGAAGTTAAGTACGATCGGAAATCTTGTCCAAGTGTTGGAATATTTCCCTGCAAATTTGAACTCAAACTTATGAAGTAATTGTTAAAATCTTCACATGAGATAATGTTTGTACTTTCAATACTCTTTATTTTGCTTTCAGAATCTATAATCTGCCACATTGCTTTTTTATTCAAAGAATTATTAATATAATTGTCATTGTAAGATTTTTTTGCTTTAGCCAATTCTCTAGCGTATACTTTTTTTATGTTTAAGATAAGCGGCACTGATTTGATTTTGGTTAGCAATAAGTTCACAATAAAATTTTACCTGTTCCCTCGTCACCCTAAGTCGTTCCGCAAACCAACTCCCTTTTATTTTTGTTATGTTCGTGGTTCTAAATGTTGTTAAAGGGAAACAAATTTCTACGGCATTTACAATTTTTTTATAAAAAGTGTCAAATTTCTTTTGGCAATTTAAAGTATTATTATCTACAAAGTCCCAATTTACTTGTTCCATATGATTATAAAATTTAAATAAACCTAATTGTGTTACAGGACGATGTGTTATTTCCTTTTTTACTGTATTTATTTTGGAAGTCATAAATCTAATACAAACACCAGCATGGTCAGATAGTCCAGGGTTGTAAGCGGTTGCTAAATATTTATCTGCGGACAAGTTTGTGAAGATATTGTCCAGGCAGTTGTTGCCTCTAGTTCGGGAAGTAATAAGTTCTTTTAAAACAAACGACCTTAGGAGATACCTTAACGTTTGCACTTGATTATTATTTAAATTAAAGTAAGTATTAAAGTTACCAGAAATAATAATTAGTTCATTTTTTTTACACATTTCAGTTAATAATAATTCTAATTGTAGGAGGAATATGTCGAAACTACCTTTAGTGGATCTGTAGAGAGAAATTATGTTAAAATTTCTAAATTTAATAGCTGCAAATTCAGCATGAATTTCTTTGCAATATCTTTCGACCTTTAAAGTTTTACATAAAGGTAAAACAGAGTTATGGACAAATGTACTTACACCACCATGTATATGTTCGCGTCGACAATAATGTGACAACAACGTATAGTTTTCAAATAAACAGACACCTAACTGATCCTCTTGTAACCAGTGCTCATTGATGCACATAATATCAAGCGGTTGATCAGCCTGTAGAACTGTATTCGTTTGAAGAATTTTGTTGCTAAGGCTTTGAATGTTCAGCTGAAAAAGATTTATAACAGAATCATTTGAATTACATAATGTAAAATTATTTTTCCTTTTATTAGATTTCAAAGCATTCGGTTTTGTAGTTTCTGATTAAATCAATAAAATAAATCTGCGCATACCTTAAATTTTTTGAGTCAGCCTGTATATCCGAATCCAAAAATATGAATGGGATGATAAATTACAAGAAGAGGCTCATCATATTTTGTACATTTTAGATAGGATTTATTCAGCAAAATTTTGTGGTGACGTCATTAATTTTTTAGAGGGGATAAGTAAATATATATTGATTAAAACGGTCTTGGTTTAATAACAAAAAATATTGTTCGTCTATGAAACAAGCTCGTCTTAGACAAAGTATTCGTAAAAAAAAATATGTCGTAAAAAATGTACGTATGCTGGTTCCGGCTGCGATTATGGTATAAATATTTTTTAGATAATCCTGACATGGATGTAGAAACATTTGTCACAGCCAAAGAGGTTTTTTTGCGAAAATTATCTTTGAATTTTGACCAAATTGAAATAGACACTAGGAACAGGCACATTTGGGCAAAGAAAGAGAAATTAGGGTTACGGTTTCAAATTTTGGACGTATTTACAAACTTAGACCGACTACAGCAATAGCTAAAACTGTGGAGTCTCTGTTGTACAGTACATTTAGAGGTAATAGTCATACATACTATGGACAGCAAAGTGAGGAAAAACCTGTCAAGTGTTTTGAAATAAATAAAAATATAAAAACTGAACGGTGTGGATCGTTTATTTCAAAACAATTTCCTTACTTGGCTGCTAGTCCAGACAGGGTTCTAGAGGATAGGAGTGCATTAGTCGAAATTAAATGCCCTTCAAAATCGCAAGATTTGTCTCTCGAATAAACGGTTAGAAAAAAAAAATCAAATTTTGTACATTGACAGACAGAGAATTGAAACTAAAAAAAATCATGATTACTACTTTCAAGTCCAGGGACAAATCCTTGTTACGGGTATTTCACAAGTTTATTTTGTTGTGTGGACACCCAAAGGAACTAATATAGAAACAAAAAAGGAAGAAATATGTAAAAAGATGGCAGATGAACTTGGCAGATTTTACTTTGGCGCATTATTGCCCGAAATAATTGATTCAAGAAGAAAGAGGAACCTGCCTTTGCGAGAGATTTTTTTAGAATAAATAAAATTTGTTTCTATTTTTTTATGTACTGTAATAATTTATTAGGAGTACATTTTTCATCACCAAGACTTGCATATTTTTATTATAAATATGTTTTGAAAATGATCTCTCGGCAAATGAAAACATATACAAGCACTTTTTTCGAGTAAACAATGAAGGGAGAAGTTACTGGGCGTAGGGTTTTTTAAAACACTTCCTTTCTGGGATAAGTGGTAGATACACTTAGCTACTTATACGTGTTAAACAAAAGCTGTATTTTATATATTTTTTATTATTATTATAAATATGTTTATTAGTTTTATTAATTAACAAAGCAAAATATATATTAACAATAATATTACAATGAATTTTTAGTAATCATGTGTATTGAATTCGGGATCCTGAGTGGAGTAAAAATATTATAGTTCCCCAGTTTTAATTCGGTTTTATGATAGTACCTCATTGCGTAAAAGTTAATTTCCTTAACAAAAGATTACTACGGCCGGTCCTGGCGGCTTGTTATAAAACTTGCCATAAATTAGAAAAATCAGCCGAGAATGCTAACAATCAGCTTATGGTAGAGCAGGCGATAAGGGTGTTAAAGATTGTCCAGAATTATATGAATTTTATGGACTCCCAAAGTTAATTTGTTTTACAGCCCTGTTGTCAGTTTTATTGTTTAGCTGAAGAGCGGGGCAAACTCAGGTACAGAAAAGATGGGCTTTCCCCTGACAGGCTCTTTACCGGTACAATAGAATTAACGCCTGAGCTGTGAAACAAATTAACGTTGGGAGTCCATAAAATTCACATAATTCTGGACAACCTTTACCTGGAAAGTCGCTTCCGTAAAATTTAGTGGCGCTCCTATCGGCAAGGTACTGAACTAACGGCTCAAAATCTATCGAATTGAAATCGATTTTTTTCAATAATTGAGATGAGACGCTAAATGTGGCATGCGACAATAGTCGTATGTAGAACCCCCATTCATATAAAAACAATGTTTAAGTGAAATTTTAGTGTTTGTTCCTTAAATATGAAATTTACAAAAAGCCGAATCACTGTTTTCAATAGCGTAAAATTTTATGCTTTCTAAGAAATGGATACCGTTAACTTGGTCATTGCTACTGAAAACTGAAAGTATCGGCAACAATGTTTATATTTCTGTCATATTTTTTAACCTTTAAAGACTAAGTTAATACAAAAATAAGCATTTATATGAACAGTATAAAACTGTGTCCAGGTAAATCAGAAAAATGCTCTAATTTTGATGTCACGTAATCGGCTTGCTTCTCCTCAAACATTTATTGGCGTTGCATAATCGTGGTCTAAGTTCATCTACCAACTATCCACTTTAACTAAATCAATTAAAAATTATATTGAATTCTTTTTTGCATATTGACGTAAAAGTTTAAAAAATTAATCACATATTTAATTTCGAAGGCAACAACCTCGTTCGTGTTTTTAATTTAATATTATTCCATACTTACAAACGTACTGATACATTACAAACATTTTGGAGATAATGCATATGGTCAAAATTTTCTTTTTTCGAAACGTAAACGACTGTTTTTAGCCTTCAGCATAACCATATAGTCCCAGTTGATGTCTTTCCATGATTTCATACCCACAGTTCGCACTTTGAATTTCCTCAGAATCGTCGCAACCATTACTTTTACCAGCATCATTCCAAATTTGAAACCTTAGACAAAATTTGAAAAAATACGACTGTTGACATCTACAGACCTATACAGTTTCTGGTTCCAAGGCTGAAAGGAATGTACGAACAACGATGTCTTTTTCCAACTTCATCAGGGAGAAACCGATCTGGATCAAATTTTTCCGGGTTGGGCCACACGTCCGGATCTCTGTGTAGTAGCACTAGAGGAACGGCGAGGTTAGAACCGGCAGGGAAAACATAAGGATCTGGAATAACGAAAACTGGATTTTTTAGAACCATCTTTTAAAATATATTACCGCATTTAATGTCTTCATCAGCATATCGCAAAATAAAAGGAATTGTGGGAACTAGTCTCAAAACTTCTTTAATAACGCGTTCTAAATAATCTAGACGATTGATTTCTTCCTGAATTGGACTGTTCTCGATATTTGGCAGAACTAGGGCGAGTTCGTTGTAAAGTCTTTCCTAAAAGAACAATTTTATTGTGATAGTATTATTTTTGCGTAATTTACCTGAATGTCTGAGTAGATTCCTAAAATCGTTAAAATCGTGTTGATTGTGATTGCTGCCGTTTCGCTTGCCGCCATCATCATAAAAATCGTTTCTTCCAAAATTTCTTCACGGGTGATCTGCTTAGTTTGACTTAATTTAGTCAAATTAGGTAGAAATCGGTTACTTTGAATTGCGTCATCTGAAAAAAAAAACGTTAGCAATCTAGCTGCTTTTATGACCACTAAATTTTATATGTATAGGAACAAATTTTAAGTGAAGTGCCCATGGAATAGTAAACGACTTGAGTTTTATGGACATACCATTTCTACCTTTGGATTCATAAGATTTGTATTCTTCTGCTATTAACTGCAAAGACAGAAAAAGTTAAAATTTTGTGACATAATAAAACGTACGTTCTCGGCATGTTCGTGACCAATTTGACAAACCATTTTATGCTCCTTATGTAAGTTAGACAATTTCCAAAAGAAATCGATGAGAAGCCACAATGTATGAAATCTCTCTACAAGTATTTTTTCGAATCTAAAGTCAAAACAATAAAAACGGTTAAATATAAAGAAATACTTACTTCACAGTGACTTCAATAACACGTCGTCGTTCCTTAATTGCAGACCGCTTTACACTTGTTAAGGTTGCTGTTAAAAAAATAGTCGACAATAATTCGCTTTTAACAATAACAATATTTTCGTCACGTTTAAAAATGAAAGTTTTTTACCTAAAGCAACATCCAGGGTTTTTTCCCAAATGACTTCTTGGAGATCCGTTTGTTCTCTACCTTCCGTGTCAAACAAAAACTGCACCATTTCGCTTGAATACTTGACAAATGTATCGTGAAACGAATTTAAAATCTTCATATTAAAAGAGGGATTGATCATTTTTCGATGTTCTTTCCAGATACTGACTGCGAATTTTATAATTTGTTACTGTGCGTAAAAAAAAACTTGGTACCTTTTGATGTCAGCAGAGTGTCTTTCATTGCATCGTTAAAATTATCGTAAAAAGGTGACTTGTTTAGACAATTTGTCAAAATTTTTTCTACATCTGCCGGTCTCGTGGTAACTATGTACAACTGTGAGCCTGCCCACGCTTTTGTAACCGGTCTGTACGAATCCAGATTTCTACAAACCAATTCAAAAAAATCTGCAATATAATTTTGTTACACTTTCTTATAATAAATTAATAAATCTTTATTACTTACTATCTTTTGTTGCAGATAACAGGACCACACTTCCGACGAGTGGCACTGAGAATGGTCCAGGAATTTTCCAAGCGTGATACAACAACCATCGTTTCTTCCAAAGAGTCGAAGTGATGATAAAAATCACACAAAGAGTGAAAATCCAGACTAGCATAGCGAAAGGAGTGACCACACGAGAGTTTTAAAATAATGCGCTTTACATTTAAGAGGCAAATGTTTTTGTAGTATAAATTCTAACTAGTTTATTTTTACAGTCAATTATTGATTCTTGCTTCACGTTAATAACTTGATTATTCCTAATATTGTTTGCTCATATTAGCATCAAAAACCTGTTGCTTCTTCAAGGAATTTACCACAAACATACAGGTGCTTTTTTACTCGAAACAAGGTCTGTAACTTTTATGGGCTTTTATTTTTAATTGAAATACCCGTAAATTTTTTAATAAATGAATCGTTTGTTCTTTTATTCCATTGCTAAAACTAAATCAGACGTTTTAAAAATGTTAATCCTCTTACGGACATCAATATCGCGAAAGTAAAAAATCTAAGAGGTGGTGGTGTGCTCCTGCAATCTGACAGTTCTAGCAACTTTAAGCAAATCACCATGAATAACTTGTCTGACCAATATGATATTCGTGAAGTCAAGACAATTGGTCCAAGGATTAGAATTACAGGTATTCCTGACTACATAAAAAAAGAAGACATTGTCTTATACCGTGAAGTTTTTTTTCTCTGAATACAGGATATTTCATGTATGTTGGGTTCATCCTCCAATAGATTGATTTGGACTGAATATAAGATCACATAAGATTCGTAATAATTGAGGATTCAACGATGTCAACGATGACATTTACAGTAAAATTTTTGATGAAATTGTTTTAAAAAGATCAATAACGTAAATTTTCTGTTCTTTAAACTTGCACTTTTTATTATACTTTAACATGAAGACGGTTGTGCCAAATGTCAATGGCATAATATCCTAAAGCTCGATTAAAATTTATGTTCAGTTTTTAAAAGTCCAAGTCAATCCATTACAAGCAGATATGGAACCAACTTAACATTAATTATCCTATGTTCAGAGACAAGAAAACCTTACGGTGTATGAGAAAACAAAATGAATCAATCTTTCACTAGAAATCCAATTGTACTTTGTTAAAATATGGCCCGGTTAAAAAAAATAATATCATTTTTCAAGCTGTTTATGAAGTTGAATTGTTGACATATAAAAGGCACTATGTAACGAAAAAAACCCAAAAATTGTCAGTAAAAACATTTAAAAATTCACACAAAATCATTGGATTATTACTGTTTAAATATTGTTAATTTAAGACGTTGTGCTAGTGTATTCGAGGAAGAATTCGATCGCATAAGTATGGGTTTAAACAGAGGCCACATTCGGGAACGAGGATTATTCAATCAATCGAGTCCACGAGGGTACAGTAAAGTTGCGCCGGAATTACTTTGTACGTAATCGCTGTGTAATAATCAGTCGTGTAATTCGAGTTATTAAGAAATGAGTTGTTGAGTTTTACTCACGTCGATTTTATTCACCGACCAACGTAACACTATTTTTTTAAGTCTGGAATGACGCTGCTGATTTTTTGTGGTAAACAATATAAACGGTTTATTTATTAAAAATTGACGCAGGGGTGTTCCATTTGAAAATAGAAGTTCATGAAAGTTAGAGCGATTACATCGAATAAAAAAGATAACCTGTATATACCGATATATATAGATATTGCGTGAATATTCTTGAAATTTTAATTTGGCAACAGGTTTCTGTCGATGATGTAAGTAAAGAGTTGATTATATGCAGTTATCAACTTTTTATTTCAAGCTATCCTTGACTTTTACAAATAAACTTTAGTGCAAGAGTCCAATTTTAAAAACGAATTTAAAATCTTTAAATTAAAAGAGGGATTGATCATTTTTCGATGTTCTTTCCAGATACTGTCTACGAATTTTATAATTTGTCACTGTGCGTAAAAAAAACCTTGTACCTTTTGATGTCAACAGAGTGTCTTTCATTCCATCATTAAAATTCTCGTAGAAAGGTGACTTGTCAATATTTTTTCTACATCTGCCGGTTTTGTGATGGCTATGTACAACTGTGAGCCTGCCCAGATTTTTGTAACGGGTCTATAGGAGTCCAGATTTCGACAAACTAGTTCAAAAAAATCTGCAAAATAATTATGTTACACTTTCTCAAAACAAATTAATAAATATTTATTACTTAATGTCTTTTGTTGCAGATAACAGGAACGTAGTTCCCACCAAGGGAACTGAGAATGGTCCAGGAATTTTCCAAGCGTGATACAACAACCATCGTTTCTTCCAGAGAACCCAAGTGATGCTAAAAATCACACAAAGAATGAAAATCCAGATTGCCATAGCATTAGGTGTGAGGACACGAATTTTAAAACAATTCGCTTTACATTTAAGAGGTAAACTGTTTTTAAAATTGGACTCTTGCACTAAAGTGTACTTGTAAAAGTCAATAATAGCTTGAAATAAAAACTTGAAAACTGCATACAACCATCTCCATACTTGCATCATCGACAGAAACCTGTTGCCAAATTAAAATTTCAAGAATATTCACACAATATCTATAAATATCTTTACATACAGGTTATCATTTTTATTGGTTGTAATCTTTCTAACTTTCGTCAAGTTCTATTTTCAAATGGAACACCCCTGCGTCAATTTTTAATAAATAAACCGTGTAAATTTTTTACCAAAAAAAAAATCACCAGCATCATTCCATATTTTAGACTTAAAAAATAGTGTTACGTTGGTCGGTGAATAAAATCGACGTGGGTAAAACTCAACAACTTATTTCATAATATATAACTCGAATTCCACGACTGATTATATTATACAGCGATTACGTACAAAGTAATTCCGGCGCAACTTGACTGTACTCTCATGGACTCGATTGATTGAATAATCCTCGATCCCGAAGGTGGCCTCCATTTAAACTCATACTTCTGCGATCGAGGTTTTTCTCGAATACACCAGCAAAACGTCTTAAATTAATAATTTTGAAACCGTATAATCCAATGGTTTTGTATGAATTTTTACATGTTACTGACAATTTTCGTTTTTTTTTCGTTACATTACATATTAACACTGTGAAAAAAATGAAAATGTAAATTACTCGAAAATTTAAAAAGTCGAAAACCTGAAAAATTGAAAAATCGAAAAACCGAGAAATCGAAAAATCAAAAGTTCGAGAAATCGAGAAGTCAAAAAATTGAGAAGCCGAAATAGGCCAAAATCGAAAAATCAAAAAAAGTAAAAAATTGAAAAATCGGTAACTGCAGAAATTGACAATCAAAACATCGAAACATCCAAATCTCGATAAATCGAGAAATCAAAAAATTGAATAATTGGAAAAATTGAAAAATGGAAACACTGAGAAATTGAAAGATCCAAAATCGAGAAAGCAGAAAATAAAAAAACAGAAAATTTAAAAACTGAAAAACCGAAATAGATCAAAACAAAAAGTCGGAGAGTTATAAACTGAAGAACTGATAAATCGAGAAACTGTACAATGAAAGGAAAACTGAAAAATCCGAAAATTGAAACATTCAAAAACTGAAAATCTAAAAATATTGAAAACTGAGATATGGAAAAATCAAAAGGATGAAGTCGAAAAATCAAAATCTTAAAAAAAAGTCGAAACATTGAAGAAAGCCGAAAGTCAAGGAATGCGAAAAATTAATTGAAAAATCGAAAAATTGATAATTTAGATGACAAAAATTGAAAAATCGAAAATCGAAATATTTGAAAATAGTAAAATTGAAAAGGAGAAAATTTGAAAAAATGTAAAACAGAAACGTCGGAAAATTAAAAATCGAGAAAATGTAAAATTGAGCAATCGTGAAATCGAATAAATAATCTGAAAAATCACAAAACTGAAATTTCGAAGAACTGAAAAATGTAAGAAAAACAAGACTGGAAAAACTGGATAATCCCAAAACTAAAATATCTAAAAATTGAAAATCTAACGACCTGAGAAATGGAAAAATAGAAAAATCAAAAAAATGAAGACGAAAAACTGAAATCTTAAAAAAATCGTAAAATTGAAAAATCAAAAACCTGAAAAATCAAAAAATTGATGAATAAATATTTTGAAAACTTGGAACTTGAGATTTAGAAAAAATGAAAAATGGAAGAAAAATAGAAGAATGGAAAAACTGAAAAATCCCAAAACCAAAATATCCAAAATCTGAGAAATTCAGCAATTGAATAATTGAGGCATCAAAAAGTCAAAAAAGTGAAGTCGAAAAATAGAAACTTCCAAAAACAAAAAAATGGAAAAATCAAAAACGCAAAAAATTGAAAAATTGAAGAATTGAAGAAATGAAAAATCGAGGCACTAAGAGTTTATAAAAGTCAAATTTGAGAAATTGAAAAATCGAAATATTTAAAAATCGTTCAATTGAGGAGGAGAAAAGTTGGAAAAACTTAAAATTGAAACATCGAAAAATTGAGAAATCGAAAAATTTTAAATCGTGAAATTGAAAAACTGAGAAATTGTAAAATCGAAAAATTGGACAATAAATAAACGGAAAAATCCCTAAACTGAAATATCCAAAAACTGAGAAATTAAATAATTGAAAAATTAAGAAACCGAAAAGTCAAAAATGTGAAGTTGAAAAAAAAAAAAATCGAAAAATTGAAAAATCAAAAACCCGAAAAGTCGAAAAATTGAGAAATTGAAGAACAAGGAAATCGAAACAATCGAAAGTCAAGAAATGGAAAAATCAAAACGATTAACTGAAAAATCGAAAAATTGAAAATTTAGAAGTCCAAATTGGAAAATCGAAAAATCGAAATATGTATTTAAAAATCGTAAAATTGAAAAAGTGAGCAATTGTAAAGTCGAAAAATTGAAATATAAAAGAAAAACTGAAGAATGAAAAAACCGAAAAATCTCAAAACTGACTGAGAAATTAGAAAATTGCAAAATTGAGAAATCGAAAAGTCAAAAATGTGAAAAAACGAAACTTTCAAAAACAAAAAAATTGAAAAATCAAAATCTTGAAGAATTAAAAAATTGAAAAATTGGAGAAATGAAAAATCGAAAAACTGAGTGTTTTAAAATAATGCGGGTTGTAATTATGGTACAAGAATTATTCTTGTACAAAACTGTTTGAATTTTTGTTCAGAAGGTGTCATTAATACTCAAGAAAAATCAAAGTTATGCAGACATTTGTTTACTTGAATCATTCTTGTGAATCTG